TGTATGTATGTATGTATGTATGTATGTATGTATGTATGTATGTATGTATGTATGTATGTATGTATGTCTGTGTGTGTGTTTGTGAAATACACATGCCCTGTGGCCCAATCGGTGACCCGGTGAGTTGTCTATGTTCCCTTGTTAGCCGCATTTGCTGGGGGCTGTTGAACCATTGAGACAGAACATCCTGGAACAGTTCGAAATGGAAAACAGTTGAATCGTTTGTCTAAAGTCTAAAGTGGTGGATGCTTCAACCCTGACCAACAACATGGACGTGGACAAATACTCTTCTGAGAGACCAAGTGTTGTTGTTGTTTCCAAAATAGTGCAATCTTTACTTGAATCATCTTGTGTTAAAAGAAACGTCCAGTCCCAAATATTAGCTCCACCCACATCTCCACGCCCCGAGCTCTCACGCCGCAGCTCGCACGCCGCGCTTCGGGCCGCTCGCTGCACTTTGTGCGTGCCTTTTTGGTCACACCTCGATCCTCGGTCGCTTGGCTGTGGCCGCGGCCGTCACGCCGGCCAAGTGCCACAAGTAGTCGTAGAGCTCCCTGACCGTGCAACCGACAGCTGACGATACTCCCGATCGGGTGGAGGGCGGTAAAGGGCTGTAGAAACGTAGATACCATTTCCGAACGCCGAACGCCAAGGGGACTGGCGCTAGATGAGGATCCTCTTCCAGGTGCCAAGTTAGTTTGTGAGGGTGGCCTCAGTGGCCTGTCATAATGCATATTATGAGCTTATGATATGCGTCTGTATGTAGGTGTCACAGGTCCTTAGGTTCCGACCGGCAAAGTAGGGTTACAAGATTGGGTATCCTCTTTCTCCTGTATTCAAAACATTGGGCCAGCCAATCTCATGAACTGGACCTATCCTCTCTCTATATATATATATGTGCAATTGTGTATACAGGTCTAACACTATTATATACGTTGAAACATTTACATCAATGAAATATGCAATTCAAAACTCTAGCTCCAAGACTGCCAGCAAGCCGCAACGGCAAGGACTCCTTTCAGAAACAAAAAAAGACTCAGTCCGGAAATCCCTACCAATTTCACTACACACAAATGTTTAAAGCATATTTTCAGAATATCCCTACAAACATCCTTCCTACGACCAGTTTCCACGACTCCCCCGCACCCGCACCTGTGGTGAGGTTCAAAGTTCATACCATCCACGGACATAGCGCGATCGTTGTGTGACCCATCCACCGCCACCGTGGGCTTCGCCTCAGCTAAATTGGTGCCTTCATTGCCCCAAACAACCTGCTGCGGCGAGACAGGGTAGTATACGCATGTGTAAACAATAACATGTATAATAACATTACATATAAGAAGATATATTACAGTATCTATATTACACTGTATATACAAATATACTGTGAAGAAAAGGCAACATGATGCTACATGCACAGTTTTTTTGCCTCCTGCTGGAGGTTTACACGTAATGTAGCAAATCTGACAACACAGAGGTCACTTGTGAAGCTCTAAATGTGCAAACTCCAGCAAACTCCAGAATCCGTTGACGCACGAATGGCGGAAACCATCAATCGCTGTGATTTCTCAATCTTCATGGAGTCTTGGAGAGTTGAGAGTCCCTTTGCACGAAACACTCCGAGCACCCAAATGCACGATATGATCCTTACATCACTTACATCACTGTTTTGTAGCCAGCAGCGCTGCAGCAAGCCCTACCCTGAGTAGTCGTTCCTACAATCCGAACAAACAAAGCTTCTCATGATGATTCTCATGTTGGAGTTTTGTGCAAGTGGAGTGCATGTGACTCAGCTATTTTCACAGCTGCGTTGTTGCCCCCTGCCCCTTGACATGTTCTGAGACAATTTTGGAGCTGCTTTGGATGACAACACAACTTACTTGTGCCAACTAGTGGCCATGATGGCTCGAAGCAAGTTCTCCTCCACGGAGCTTCCAATCGAACCTCAGCTGGGAAGCCGAAAAGCAGAAACATATCCATGAAATTCCATGAATGCCCTCCATCATCTGAATCCTCCATCTGTTCCTCAACCATGACAGAAAACCCAAAACGAACAGATCGATGGACTCCTTGACAAGTGGAACTTGAATATTGAGGGAGGACTTCCTGAAATAGTCACTGCCTGCATTCAGCTGCGAGAAGATCAACATAATCAGGCGAAGAACCCAAAGACTTGCATTGTTTGAGGTCGATTCCCTCGACCTTGCAACACAAGTCTTCTAAAGATTCAATTAATCCAAAAGACAGTTTGATACTCTAGTATCGAATGTATTTTAAATAAGATATTAGTATTGTATTGAACCATATGCAAAACAAATTTCTTACTAGTTCTTTAAAGAAACACACGCGTCTTCACGACTCGTGGTTTGTAGCTCACGACTGACTCATCAGTCTGAGCTGCGCATCTTGGGAACGTAGTCGACCTGAGCGGGCCAAAGCACATGGCAGGCAGCTTCGATGGCAGAGCCTGGGGGGTCGACGGTCCGGACGCGACGCTTCGATCCAGTACACCGGGGCGATGTACTCAGACAGAACAGGGTGCCTTTGGGAATTGGACATCTGATATACATGCCGGGCCATATGAATTCCGCCTCTCTGACACCTGAACTCTTGTATCCATACTTGTCAGAACGGTGGAAGAGAAACGAATCCGTAGGATTTGTCTTGCCAGCTTGGCAGCTTGGCCACAAAATGCTTGGGAGATCCAAGCATTCACCTGGTGATGTATGTCTTTATAATAGTAAGAACTGTGTTAATTGGTAGAGATCTCATGTGTGAAGCCCACGTCAACCCCAGTATTTTACCGCAAGATTGTGGTAATATATGAAATATACTGTCAGCATCTGTCAGCTATACCAGAAGTATGTTTTCTTCAGGAGACGCAGGAGAGTACTACTCGTCCCCACAAACAAAGCAATGTAAACACCTTGATGTCACACCAAAGCTACAGGACGAATTATGGAACTGGATGGAACTGGAACTGTTTCGGAATTCGTCCGGGTTTGCTGAATAGATACTCTAATGTCCCAGCTCTGCTTCTATGGCTCATGGTGTGCGGGGACAGGGAACCCAGTCTTCCCACTGTACAAGACTGGAAGCAGTGAAGCCGAACTCTGCACTGTGAATTTCGGAATGCCAAGAGCTGGAATGGCCAGGATCCACAAGGTCCCGGTATAGATGCACTACAACCTCGCCGCGATTGGTTGAATCAGCCATATAGCTTGAGCACCATCGGGTCTACTTGATGTCTCACCGAGTCGACCCCCATCGAGTCGAACCCCACGCCTGCCCAGTTGGAGACCGTGCCCAAGACCGCGTTGTCACAGCTGCGCACACAACCGTTGCTGGCCAAGGGCGCGAAGGCCGCGCCATCGGGGCGAAGCTCGGAGCAACCTGCGAGAGATTAGCTGGATGTCGCTGCTTCGAGAAGCACTTAGATGATCTTAGATGGGATTTGAGAGGTCTCAGATCAGAATTTGAGTGCAAACACATGCGAAAACCAATCCCAAAAAAGGTTATTAACAACTGTTGAATGGACCATTATAGACTGTATATTATATATATATCTGCTTGAATCATCCCGTTCCCTTTGCTGACTGTATACGAAGCCTGGAAAGTGACGACTAGAGTTGCTACATTGTTTTGGTCGGGCGTTTCATGATGTCCGTTTTGTTCTGACTACGGCCATGATCTACTAGCCACTGCCTGACAGCTTATTGACTCTAGGAGTTCCGAATCTGACATCACTAACTGCCAAAGGGTTGAAAATGCAAACAAACAACATCACATGCCCATGTAAAATATATAGTAACATAGTACTATATATATATAATAATTATATGTACATGAATATATATGCACATATATGTATCCGGGGAATATAGGGAGACCAGTCTCGCATACAACCAAACATGGACTGATGAAAAGTAGTGTAAGACTCTGCCCAGGAATGAACGTTCCAGAACAAACAGGGACCATGACCAGTCCAAGCCCACGTGACGCTTGAGGCACGTCTGCCCTGAATCCAGCCCTGCCTGGCACTGAGACCACACGTCCCATGCCAACCTGCCCACAGGAACCATCGGTGGATCAATCCCCACGTGGCAGGAGCGAAATCAATTCGGCTGCTGAGCTCCTCAAAAGACTCCATGATACTCAATCGTTGGATTCTTTGAGTCTATCTTACTTGCAATCCAGTCGCAAGGGCCTGGATTCCCAAAAGGCCGCAATAGGATTCTTTGAATCAATTAGCGCTTTTAACCAAGGGCGACTGGGGAATTCACTCACCCCAAGCAATACCAACGTTCAATATCTCCAAGTTTCTCCGGCAGCTATAACCTAAAGGATCCTAAAGAAACGGAACATACCACTGCTCTGGTAGTAGTGCAATAATATTTCTAGCATGAATCGTACGCAATCTGGAAAGCGGATGTTCTCCTGTGCGAGACTTTGCTTCTAGGGTTTCTGCAAACCAGTGGTAATGTGTAGTCCCATGTCGTTCAATCCCGTCCGCATTTGCTCAGCCTCGATGGTGAAAGTTTGTGGTCTCTAGAATGTGATTTTGTTTACTCATGGCTACAGAAAATATTGTATTTGAGAGTTTGAAAAAAGTGCACAAAGGCCTGCATAGAATCCCTCCTTGGCCTTGGAGGCGAAGGTACATCCTTCCGTCGATAAACATGTTTTCTTGGCCTGACCATGGATTCCTCAACAAACATTCCAAGAGCTCTTGCAGTAAATATGTCCCATCCAAGGCATTGTTCCCGTCCTGAAGCATCTGGAAATTCTCATTGAATCTGATGGAACTAACTACAATATGATATGCTACAATATTACTACATTAACTGATAATGAATAGCCGCTAGCCCAGCCTGATTCCTTTGGATGTTGTTTTGGATATAAGATGATATAAGGACTCACTCATGTTTGATTCCCCCCACTCCACTCGCTCCACTCCCCACTCCGCCTCGTTGCCTCCATCGCCCACACCCAGCGTCTTGGCGTCCTCTGCCACATGCGCCAGGCGCCGGAAAGGGGCGGTGGGCATCCTTGGCTTCACGATTCACGACGTGCCAGCTGAACCGGTTGCCAGCTGCATGTCAGATCAAAACCCGAGTACTATGTTGAAGTGCAGTTCCGAGTAGGACATCGTCAAACTGTGCCCCTGAGGCTACTCTTGGTGATATTTCAATGTTTTTGCAATTTCCACAGGTTCTTTTGACTCTACTTAACAAGTTGTTGGGCCTGTCCAAAATCACAGTCTGGAGGTTTGTTGTAAGCCAGGTGATCGTGGTCTGAAAACAACACAAACGATGAGGTGATCGTGGTCTGAACGTGCACATCAATAATACACTTGAAGACATTGCAAAATGGTCACCCATGGTCACCGCTACTACGGGGTGCCGCACTCAGAAAGTGGATTTCGTCTAAGTTTCCTTGTACCAGCAGGTCTCCCTGTTCCAATAAAATACACACCCCCTCGGCCCTCGATAGCTTCCTCCAGCACCATTCAAATAGCTAAACAACTCAGGGTGTTTGTAATTCACATTGGACAGCTCTGAAAATGATATCCACGACCAACAGCCAACACAAGAACACAAACATCATTTCTGGTGTCATACTGTTGATGGACAAAATCCTGCACCACTTTGCGCACACGTTTCTTGCTGCCCTCGTTCTCCCTGATTAACATTGGGGCCACCACAGTGAGAAAACAAACACAAGTTGAAGGTCCAAAATCCTGCACTCCTCAGAGGGGTCGCGCCAACATTGAATGAGGGGGCGCGGGGGTTGCTATGCGACCCTTCCAGGGTAAAGTGGTGAGGTGGTGCAGGATTTTGTCCATCAACAGTATTGCTATCAGTATCTTGTGAGTCTTGTACTCTTGCACACTCTTGCAATTTGAAGGTGCCATGACCATTTTTTCGAACTCACTTCAGTTTGCTGGTCAACTGGATCTACCAAGGAGCTCGGCCAAAGCTGCCCGGCATTCCTGCAAAGCAGTCTCGTTGGCATCATCTGAACCACATACTTTCGAAAGGTGGACGCAAAGTAATTAGAGCAAACAGACACTTGGAGGATTCTGGAACATTGCAGGAACAATACTTCAAATATGTTCTGGATTGTTCTGGTATTTTGTCTCTTACATCTGGGATACAATCGACCAGCTGCCTCGAACGACAGAACGGTTGACCTTTTCCCATCCTCCAAAATGGCACTGGTCACCACAACAAACAGCACCGCAGCACAGCTTCGCCGGGGTCACACAAAAACACAACACAGAAGCAACACCAAAGTCCACCAGAACATTCATTCACATCGGGGGGGGATCGGCGAGGAGGGGAAGGGACCCGGAAGGGGATGGACTGTTCGATCATTAAAAAGAACAGGAGTCCAACATGAAAATGACGGACTGTTCAGTCCAAATTGGTTCAAACATGTGGCGCCATTGGTTCACCGTGGGCACCGTGGGCACCTCATTGATGCCGCACTCCACGAGTGGGTAAAGGCAATCGATGGGCTCCGTGTGCTGGCCTCGCCGTCGGAGAAGCGCTGAAATGGACGAGGCGACTGGAGGAAACGAGTTGAGGACTCTGAGTGCTCTAAACAGGGGGGGATGATTTTTGCAAATGGTTCAAAAACTAGGGGAAGCTCCACTTTGATTGGGGGTGTGGTTTTCTGACAGTGCGAATACGCTATCTACTTAACTGGCACCTTTATGTAAGAACAACATCTCCATGTGAGGTCTGAATGGCGCTAAAACGCGCTACTAAACAATTGGAATAATATTATCCTCTTGATTATGGACTCCGCTGGATGTAATCATTACATATGAGTGTGTGCTTAACATACTAAAACCAACACAACATGAATGAATAGAATACGCTGTCAAACTGTAGAGGCCAGCTTCCTGGATATCACCGCATTCCAACGGCGTGCCTATGTCTCGGCCTCGAATGTTGCGATATGGGGCTCCAAGCCGCTCCTGGGAGGGCCAACATTTTGCTGATTGGTTTCAACTCACCTCAGATGACACATGTAAAAACACAAAAAACACACAAGCAGCATTTAACAGTTTTATAGTTATACACGTTAAGATATTTTATAACTCCAGATTACAGATTCCAGATGACATCAAATAAATGACATCAAAGTTGCAAGGAAAAACTGAATCTTCCACATCCCTCCCATCCCTAATCCCCATGGCTCCAACGACAAAAGCGCATCCACTCGCCCGGCATTGTCACCCCAGGCATCTCGCAACGCATCGCCCAGCCGCGCCGACAGGCACCAGCTCCGCTCCTGCACGGTGCTCATCCGGGGAGAACAAGGGGGAAGGTCAAGGAGAAGAGCTTGAAACAGGGAGTGCGGAGTCCGATTGATGTAGATTCGGGTTGTTTCAATCTCGAAAAAACTCTGAGATCTTCTTTCCAGAAGAAACACCCGGTCGCCCAAGAATCCAAATGAGTTTGCTTATAACTTATATCCCATCAAAACCATGGTCAGAAAGCATCCGATTGGACTGGTGGGAGAGCCTAGGTAGGTTTAGGGCTCGTGTTCACCAGAAAGCTCTGCACATGGAACATGTACGAGAATCTTGACCATTTATACACCTTTACCCCTTGGTGATCTTATTCAACCCCGAAACAGGGACGTTGGAGCTTCCCGAATTCAAAGACTTCACGGCCTTCCGTCACCCAAAATGCAAGAACCTGACAGTGTGACCGATCGCCATCTGCGACCCGTCCTCCAAGGTGCTCATTTCTTTGTCACCCACCTGAGAGAGGTGATGCGACAGCTTGGACACCCGACCCAGTGTTCAGCGGGTGTAGTTCAAATTGCATAATGAGCCTTGGGGAATTATGGGTATATAATTTATATTACAATTATGTTTTATTACAGTAATATGTCCAGAATTGTCCAGAACTTGGTAGAGTGGATCGGAATGTTGGATGAATCACGTGATTGAAGTCGAGACTCAGAACTACACACACCACGTCAATGTCACTTCACTTACACGTCTTCATGGCAAATCTCCCAACCTTTGGCCAGCTTACAGTCACCGTAACTTCTCGTCCCTAACATCAAGAGGTTAAACCAGCACATTTGATCCCAGGGACAGCTAGTATTTGAGGAACAAACAACCTGTTTTACCTGTACAAGGCTGGCGCCAGCCCGGCGTTTGATGCTGCCGTGGGTCTCAAGACCAAGTCATGACATTTATGGACCACAGCTGAACATTGGGCAGAGCTGGGGCCAACAAAACAACCTACAGAAACTATGTCGAGAAGCTCAAGCTTAGGCGAGCTTAGGCCAGTGTTTGCTGATGTCATCTATGTGCACCCTCACATCATGTACACCCTTCCTTCTCATCCCAGACGTGGTGGGGATAAGGAAGGTTTTGGATGATGCTTTGGATCACTTCTTCACGAGTGGCCGGCACAGGTCCGAACTGAGGTCCAGGAAACACGGTCAAACCGAAGGTACTGACCTCTGCAAAGCTTGGTTCTGCCGACCATCTTCGCTTGGTTGTGAAACGCAGCGGTTCTAGTTTGTTGGGTTCTGCCTCCTTTGCCTCTTCATCTGTCCCAATGTTCCGTCCAAAAGCCAGAAAGGCCGTGACTGGAATGCCACCCCGCAAATCTCTCCACCGTACGGTACCTGCTTCTGTTGAGGGTGCAACTAAGTTGTCTCCCACCTCCTCATTTTGATCCAAACCGTAACTGCAAACTGGATCCTGCCTCGGCCTTTGCCGCTTCGGGCAGGGGCTTCTCTGCGGAAACGAAGGGCAAACAGCGGCTGTGGCTCTGCAAGCGAGACCAAAAGCCTCCCAACTGGTGCCCAAACAGAAACAAAGAAGGAACAAGAACTGATCCGAAAAAGGTAAGTCTAGTCTAGTCTAAAGCAACGCTTCTCTTGGCCTCGGCCAAAATCCAGTCAATGAATGTCAACGACCCGAAATTGGGTCTTTAAAGCAAACATTCCACCCAAAAAGGCTAGTCTCATACCATTTGGAGACCCGACTGGATGACCTTCTCATTCTTTGGTCGACCGTCTCATGTCTCTTCCATCTCTTTCGCCTTCATCCGCTTCCCGGAAGTGCTCCATCATGGAGTCCTAGGGTCGCGCGCAAAGGTGGTGGATTCCCCCCAACAGGATTCGATTATTGACTCCGATGCAGGATCTTTTTTGTCCCTTGTGGGAGAAGGAAAACACAATCGCGTTCTTCAAACACCTGCAAATTATCCTGCAAACATATTAGACATTTTACAGTAAAAAAAACGACATACTGCGATGGGCGCAGTCTTGGTGCAAACGAACATGGAATTGGTAGACATAATGCATATATATATATATTATTGTAATATAATACATATATATAATGCAATGTCCAACACACCCCTTCTGACAGCGTCGGTCATTGAGCCAAGGGTAGACCAAGTGGAAGCAATCGTGTGTGTCAAACAATGCTAGACAACTGCTCGTTTAGAATGTCAAACAACGTTTTGTGAGGAATCAAGACGTGTCCCAAGGCAAGGCATGCATTTGTTTCCTCGGATCTTGTGTTTAAAACTCATAAAGGACTCAGGCCGCCAGCGAAAGCAAGATGCGAAAACCAGAAGCGAAAGGAGGAACTTCTTCTCCCTGGAGCACATGGGTGGGAGCAGAAACGCAGCGGACTGGTAGGTCCTGGTAGGTCGGCATTGCAAGCTCAGTGCCAATGATTCACACTCCCTCCCTATGAGCAATCGCAACTGCTGAGCCAGCAGTGTGAGGTGGCGGAGAAAGAGCCTTTCCTGGGAGGCAAGCAGGTGGTCCCGAGCTCCAAAACGGACTTCATGAGCCCGACTACATTGCTTGTCAGTCGCCCGGCATCATGGCACTCAAGCATACGTAGTTCCAAAGACAACTTGGGACCGCTGGCCAGGAAATTTTGCTGGAATGAGGCCTCTATTTTGCTCCTGGACAGGCCACCCGTCACATTTGATGTGGAGGAAAGGACAGACAAATCTACTGTCAGACCTCCCAATGCCAGGCAGTCCCAAACGAGCATGCATGGAAGGCTTCCAAGGCCTTGGGCAACAGCGTGGAGGTGGAGATGACAATCAGGTCACACTACCCGCGAATTGTTCGGAGCAAAGAACCCAATTGAGTCGGATAACGTTCAACTGCCTGAGCCATCGTTCGAGCCACATGGAAAAACATGCAAAGACCAACTCCAACCATCCAATTATGTAATGACAATGATGTAGAATGTTAATGAAATTCAGGTCAGAAGGACAAGTGGAAGTATCCTAGTTACAGCCTAGTCAATAGAGCCTATAGAGGCCTTCACTAGAATAGTCACAAAATGTCCTAAGTCACAAGCTACCCTGCAGTGAATAGCATAAATCCAATCATATCAGATTTAAGAAATGTTGCAAGGTAGTCTCTGTCAGCCCAAATGCGTCGTGGCGAGAGGATATCCAGGCCATGCGTCGTAGGCCTTCTTGATGACTGGCCCATTGTGAACGTCGCAAAAGAGGGAAGCACGCACACCTGCAAGTGCTGAGCCTTCTGAGTCATTGCTGGTAAATCAAACAAGCATCGACAAGCATTGACTGGAAACATCTGGAAAGCGAAACAGAATAAATGCGGCTGATAGACACGATGCGGCTGAGGATCCACATGGAAGACTGGAACCACATCAACATTTCTCAACTCAAACGTGTGGCAAAGACATGTTTCACGGGTCTCAACATGTCTCAACCCTACGGCATCTTGCAATAGTCTGATATTCTTGAGGATCAGGTGGTTCAAAATGAACGACATGGAACAACCAACCAACCAACCAACAAACAAACATAGAGATAATCCTGTTCCTCCATGTTTTTCCCAACATGTTTTATTCCCCGCACCAAGTGGATCAGAGGATCACCATTCCCCCTGTTCTTCATAGGCCTCTGGCACACAGGGCACGCAGCACCGCCAGCGCGCCCAAGGGGCCGTCGGTCTCGCAGCCACCCAGGTCTCCGTGAGGGCCCTGTGTTCGCCGACCGGTCGTTGCAGAGCCAAAACGTCGTGGTGAAGGACTCTGCAAACAAAACACTGTGCTTCTTGCTCCTAGTAGTACGGCCAGCAGCCCCTAGTAGCGTCCTTGCTCCGTAGCGATGCCAGGAGCCCCTAGTTGCTTCTTGTTCCTAGTTGGAATCATATCCAAGAAAAGGCCTCATGTGAGATGAGAGATGTCTCCCGAGACTCTTAGACTCTAAGATGAAACAGGATCTTGCTGAAGATTGTTGTGATCATATGTGAAAACGGAATTTCACAAAGCCTCTAAAAAGATCTAAAAATAAGTTCATATCCGAGCCAGTAACTCAAAGCCCTTTTCACTACTACGAGGTCCCGGCGAAGCAACACTGCAAAATCTTGGGTTCCTGAACTGGGGACTGGGAAAAATGGTCACATGTTCGCCCCCAAAAAGACTTAAAAACCGCCCCATGTTCGTTGCATCATGGCGGCGCCGGACACGTCTAGCAACACAGCTTGCACCCTGCATGGGGGTCTACAGTATATATTACTTTTTTTGTTTTGCAGTGCTTCAGGAGTCTGTACTGCTTGCTTCCTTCTTTTCTGATTGGTGGGTTCACGCACCAGAATTGAAGTCATCGAATTACGCCAGGTTGAGGTTAGTTATATAGATGTGTCAACCGCCAACCGCCAACCAGCTTGGTTTGATCACCCAAAGATGTGGCTGGGCCGTGGTTACTCTGCCAGCCGGCAGCAAACAAAGTGGCGGCCTCAGCGCCCTTCTGATGCAGCACGAAGAAACCAGTGATGATCAAGACGTGGCTCGCCTGCATTCTCGCAGTGCTTCCTGCAAATGTGCGCTAAATGATCATGAACCTCATGAATCCAGGGCAGTCTGAGATGTCAAGTGCCTGCACTGAGCTCATGACCGTCAAACATGTCCGTGACTCGGGGTTGATGGCATAGGACTTAAGATGCATCAATGGGAACATCTTGACACAGCGACACACTCTGGATATTCTTTCAAGAGGGGTCATCAAGGCGTTGCAAGCACATACTAATAGAGAAGTACGTAGTTAAATCATGTTAAATCCCTTAGGACATTCATGTCTTTCAACACGTTTCTCTCTATGTGAGGCATTTAAAGGGACCACCATTCTTTGCCCACCTTCTGCAAGGTGGTCACGGCCTCAAAGAGACTCGGCGCCCGGCCATGCTGCACCGCCTGCGGAGCTGCCCACCATGGGCCCATGAGGTCAGCTGGAAAGGTTTGACAAAAAGGCTCTCATGAAGCGATCCATGAGGAGCCAGCAGGTGGATTTTCTCATGAACGACCGATCATGGTCATGTCAGCCATGTGGATAGCTCTAGACTCTAGACTCGAGAATTTGGCGGCTAGGGCAAGGGTCAACCACTTAGTTCCACCCGAAACATATATTCAGGACATACCATTACCATGCGTCTACTGGTCAATAAAGAGATTTTGTGAGCACCTGGAACATTTGGGACTCTTGTCAACACCGAACACTACACACGTCCAGGACGGACCCACCAACCACCTGCCCGGCTGACCAGCCTTTTGATAGATCTTCTCAATGTTGCGACCTCGAAAGCAACGACGACGTGCGATCGCATTCCACCCGCGCGGTCACCACGTGCGATCGGTGCATCCAACCAAAGCGTTTGGGGACTGTTTATCATACTTCGGGACAAGCTGCCGATTGGCGGGGTTTGACCAAATCTGAGCTCAGGTTGGCCTTCCTATATTGAAACTAAGAACAAACCAGTACTAAAAGGTGGTGCTGAATACTTGATTGTATACTGTATAAGTTGTTCAACGCAAAGACAAACATTGGCCTGAAAGTGGCAGCCTGCACATCCGACGAAGTGGGTGCTCGAGCACAGCGTTCTTCTCGATTTCACACCGTCTGACATCGCTCGTCTCGTCGCTGCGCTCCGCGAAGAGCACTTGATCGAGTAGGGTTTACTCATCTCCTGTTCCGCTGCATCCGTCTGGGTTGGCGGATGACATCGGATGACCTCCCGGTACGGCGGATGACCTTCCGGAAGCATACCAAGCTTTGCCCTTCACCCGCTTTGCCCTTCGGTCGCCGATCCCGCTGCAACCCAGGCGCCACAGTAGCTACCGCTATACTTAAAGCCCATTGCCAATTCTCCATCAATGACGGGCCCCAGCTGGGCATATGCCTTGTAGTCGTCGACACCTTGAGTGAAGAAAGTTTGGGTCGAAAGCCCGGCTGAGCCACTCACTGAACTGCTTCATGTTCAAAAAGCTGCTTATAATCTATAACTTATACTTGTACTATCTTATACTAGTATTAGTATGTTCAAATACCCGGCACGGAATCATACCCGGCACGGAATCAAACAACTTCAATCATAGAGCAATGAAAACTGATCAATCAAGTAATCTTAATTACATACCACAGAGTGACACTGCTTTCTTCAGCACACATAGACACTCAAATTGTGCGAACTCCGGGGGGCGGTATCCAACAGGTGATAATGATCATGTCCACGTTCAACACGGTGCTCTCCCAAAGAAACAAATGAGGGTTGGCTGGCTGACGTTTAAAATACCTAGAGCTTGAGTGACCTCCATTTTGGATCACCATCCACCTAACCCCAAATGTGGTCGCTTCCAATCAAAACAAAGGTCAAAATGAGCTCTTTAGGTATAATGATGTAAATATAATATATATATATACTATACACATGGGTCCGCGATGGTCCGCGCAAAAGGGCATGAGACCGATGACTAATCACTCATATCTGCCCCTCTGCCGGAGGCCAGAAGCCGGAAAACAAAAATGTCTGTTCTGGAGAGGAATTTCCGGGGCTTCGAAGCATCCTTCATGTGTTGAGTTCTATTATATCATATCTACATAGTTCTAGGATGTTCTATCCAATCATTCATTCATGATTTGCCAGTGGCAAGGAGCTAAATACGCACGCAATTTCCATAGCTTTTACCCTTGCAGCTGGAGTAGCCATGGCTGATATGACACCCGTGCTGGAGTAGCACTACTGTTCTGAGCTTCCGATGATGGTTGTTCTTCTTGTTCTCTGACTCAAAACAGGGCGACTATTGGCTCTTTGAAACAATGACATTGTCTAGTACCTTCCAGTTCATTTGTTTGTAGATTCCAGTTCATATTTGCGGTCTTCAAAAAGTTCTCTGCAACATTATGCAACCATCTCACCAATCTGAACATGTAGTAAAATAACGTGAAAGCCATTCAAATTGTCAGGTCAAATGAGGGGTCGATGGTCATTCTGAGACGGGCAATCACATGAAACTCCTTTTAGTGTGCCTTTCATTTGAGGTCCCACCAGGAACCACTGCTACGAGTCCACCGGAAACTAAAACCTACCGATGACCACGTACTACCCTTTGATTTTTGACCGTTTCGTAGCTTTATAAAAGGCTCAAGCCTGGCCACGAGGCGCGGGATCCGACGTGGAACAAGTCTGTTCAGATGCCAAGGGATCAAGGGGCAGCTCTCTGGTCGGTCCACAGGGGTCCCTAGAAGTTTCCATGACCCACTTGACCTCACCCGGTCGTCATGAAACTCAGTTGAGTGGATGTCAGCAGTTGCGACCCGCCCAAGAAAAACACACGAGACCCTCTGGCCCAATCTTGGCACTTCTGGTAGTTTTTGACATTCTTTACGCGCAAATGGTCGCGTCCGTATCACATCCGGTATACAAAGCCAGCCACCTTCCGTCAGCACTTCTCAGCATTTTGGCTGAGGTGCCGTCCGCATGAAAAGCACCAAATCCAGCTGGGCCAAAGCTGGGTTGACCAACAATTCAGTGCATCAACTCAAACCACACCACGATCATCCAAGGGGTGTCCAATGTGTCCAACCTTGTCCAACGTGTCTGACTCTGCTGAACGAAGGGCTGGTTTCTCCCGCTCTCCGCTCTCCGACCACTGCAAATCAACTTTTTCGGAACGTAAACGACCAGCCGCCGCTTGGGCGTTTCAAACTCGGCGCTGCCAGGACCTGCGCCACGGTTCCTTTCGTGGGTTGTGGTCTATTCAGTTATGTTAGATATATTTGGTAGACAACCAAGGGGTTTTGACACACAGTCAAAAATATCAAACCATATTGTACAAGTCGGACTGATCCTCCCCTCCTCTCTGAATGCCTAGTGCCACCTTTAATGAGCCTCTTTAGCCCCACAAGAACCCTGCAAACGTCCTGTCAGGTCCTAGTGCTTAAAGCTATTGAACCCAAACCTTACAGTAGCACCCCCTCACCCCCCCTTGAACCAAAAAAAACAACAAACAAAATCCTGTGTGGAAACCCCTACTTGCAGCATGCAGCTTTGGTTCGATTTCCAATTGCTCCTTTCATTATCTTTCAGTCAACACTCGCATGCACCCAATCAATTTGGCTAGATCGTAGACTCCGTAGACCTTTGAAGCCTGACAACCAGCATCATCACCACCAACACGACTGCTCAACTTTGTACCATTTTGAAGTTCAAATCTACCAGTCAGCCAAAAACGCCTTGCCTCCCCGGGCCCCAATCCACCAGTCAGAATTTACCTGAAAACGTCTGAAAGAACGCAGATCTCTAACTGCAAACACAAGCTGCACCTAGCCCTACCTCTCCCTACGACTTGTGCCCCCAAAAAGTTTCAGGCTTCCAGACTTCCGGATCCTATTAGTAAGCAATGGCCTCCAACCTAATAGCGATAGCCTCCAACCTGGAAGCAATGGCCTCCAACCTAGAAGCAATGGCTTCCAACCTATTGTCTTATGGGGTCCAAAATCAAACGAACCCGGGGTCAACATGCTTTACTAGGTCGACCGGATTGCTGCTACTGATCCAGGATTCGGCTTCTCCACTTACGTCACCCATCCACCTCCATGTTAGGAAGCCTCCAAGACACCCGCCTGGGAAACCTCCATCAGTCGTGCATCTGCGGCCACAGCCTTTTCTCTGTACGCGCTTCTGGACAGCCCCACATGAGTCGTTTTGGAATGTTTTGGATGGATGTCTTCTTTCAACTCCGATGGGTCCGCGCGTAGTGAAGGGCCCTTACTGGCCCATCTTCCGACCCAAATTGGCAAACAAACAATCGCCAACAAACACTGCCTTTAAACAACACACACATCATCTTGGCCGGTTTTGACCCCACATCAACTCCTTACGTAGCGGCTTTGACTCTGTCAAGCAACTAGTACATCATCAATCATCAATATCTATTTATATAAACAAGTCTTGTACATCCGTCCATTCGGCAGTCAGGTAACCTGCATCTACAAGTCACAGCAGTCACAGGCCCAGTACTGCCAAAAACGAACTCATCGGGAATGCCACCAGTTCTCTAGGTCTGAGGTCACGATTGAAACTCCAAGGGCGAAGTATCCGGCTCCAAGTGCCTTCCCGCCACAGTATCTTTGGTCACTATCCTCGCATGTCTCACCTTGACTCATCTCCAAAGGGCTTTGATAATGAGTGAACAGCTTTTGACCAACTGGGGACAACTTGGGATGGAAGGTTTCTCGGCGGCCCTCCACCTGGTTCTTGCGCCACCTGGTGTCTATAAAACTAGCTTTTGAATGCTGTTGAGTTTTGAGGGACCCAAATTCACCGGTTGGAGAGTGTAACAACCATAGTATCACTTTCTCTCTCTCTCTCTTTCATACTTCCGGTTTTCGTACAAGCCGGTTCAGTGTATCCACCGGCTCATGTGGCTTTCTTTGGAAAGCTGGTTACACTCCCCCAAAAAGGAAAGGCTGACCCCCTCAGTTTCTCTGGAAATAAAAGCTGCTCTTGTTCGGGATCGTCGAAGAAATGATTGGAGGACCGACTCCGCTCATTTCTTCACCTCTCTTCAGGACATGGGGATTGGACGAAATCACGGACTGCTATATAATAACCATAGCCACCAAACGGGTCCAAACTCCTTACGGGCTTCACAAGGAGACAACACCATCCCGACTCACCCGAGACTCCCTCATCGCTGCTCATCCATGGCGTCTTGAATCTTGACGAAAAAAACCCCCCGCACATGGATGCCTTGCGGGCAGGTACGCATCCACGCAAACCCTTGTTGTATGACGGGGGTTCCAAGCCTCTTCTACCTGAGGGGTTTATTGATCAAGATTCAAGATCCAATGCCGAGACGTGACCAGCGGGTGGGAAGGACGGCCCCCGGTTTGCGCTGTCGCCATCATTCCTTTGCAATCGAATTGTTGGTCCAAACCGGTCGACAGTATGCAAGGTGGCCAAAGACGATCCTTTTTTGACCTGTGGGCCCGACAGTGGGGCAAACGTCATCAAATGCCAGTGGTCTGGTGGGCACAAACAAAACACTCAGATGTCCGTAGAGTAACTTTGGCCTTTGTGATGGACCCGCGGCAAAACAAAAGCCAGCAACTGCCATAGATGCAGTTCTGCTGAGCGCGACTGGTTGGTCTTACAAGTCACAGCAAGACCTCGCGCGCAATATCCTTGAAACGCATTTTGGGTGTGGCTCTATTGGACTGTATTGAGCTCTATGTTTCACCACGGTCCTTTTTGTTTGCAGCGAAGGCGGTTCTTGTCTCGTGAGACAAACAATGGTTTCGGTTCACAGAATCCATGACCAACATCAGTGGTATTGGGACGTATTGGGTTTCCAGGATCCCGGCAGGGACAGCAAAAAATCCAATATGGTATCATTGTTCGGCGCAACACCTGATCAAACAGCGGCCACAGCAAACATATTGTGAGAGTTCCTTGGCTTAAAATGGGAACAGTACCTACTAGGTCACCTTGTGCTGTAGGTGCTAGACATTGTAAAACCAAATACTATATAGACTGTCATTTGTCATTCTTCCACGGGGCAAAAACAACTACTTCATAGAATATAATATACAGTACAAGTGTTGAAATACTTGGAGCTCTCTTTGGTGAGAATAGAACATGAAGGGATTCTCTTCTAGGTCGAGTCCTACGCATGTTCACATGAAGAAGGATCATCAAGATCATTAAGTCAGTTGGAAAAAAACCTACTAAAGGACCTGGAATCCCAGTGGAACGCAGGAAGCATACATTCTATTTTTATGAGCAACAGGTTGCCTAGAAGCAGGTGCTGATAAGATCTATTGCGTTGCAAACAACATCCAACTCATCTCGATTGAGCAGGCAATCTCCGCGCTGATCTCTCTTTGGGAGCAGGTATATATGTTCTTATGAGGTTCAAGTACTGCTTCGGATTTTCTTCGGGTATCTGTTTGTACTTCCTGAGGGAAGAACAGGCAAGAACATGAACCAGGGTCATCGAACGGGCAAGTGTGTAAAATGCAGTTGACATGTTGACATTACAAAAAACGATCAAACGACTGTCCAATGACTAATGCGAGAAAAGAGCAAACAAATCACAAGTTCAAATCGAATTGGTAGAATCATGGAGAATATATGTATATAGTAATACCATGTAATAACATATATAGTAACCATGCATGTGCATATAACCAGACACGGTCATGGCAGGATTCACTTCTCCTGCGAAATGCAAACCTCACCAAGTTAAACATGGCGAGGATGTAGCAACTCCACACCCTCAGGGGCAATGCAAAAATGCCCTAAACTCGAGTGTGCTACTGGCCTCTAGCCAGCAAAGGTGCCAAGTCTAAGCTTTGCACAACTGAGATGGCCCACATGTTAGGCCGCATCCGTATGTGCAAAATATTGCAGAATCAAAGACTTTGCAACATATGAATTTCGTTCGAATACCTTCCGTTCCGCAGCTGCGCCCCTCTCACAACACTCCAGGAACAGTTGAAACATGTTGAAACAAAGTCAGCCGATCATTTTGCGATGACTGTCGTTTCCGCTCCGCTTAGCAAATGAACATCCTTCCTGAAAAAGCGCCTGTGAGGGGTGAAATCGCAAATCTCTCTCTGCGCCCAAACTTACTGAGCATGGCCCAGCTGCTACAAACACAAAGAGGGTCTCCAGTATGTAGGATGTCCCGGAGCAACATTGGC